CCCCCCACCTCAATTTCAACCCCAAAACTATTATTACGTTACAATTTTACAAGGGATGGATCAGAACGGAAAGGAGAGAATACGAGGAGAGACTATAATACCGTACGTGTCGTGCTCGACTTTTACCAGCGACACGCACAATGGCAATTAACAATCGGGCCAATTTATTTATTGTTATCTGCAAAATCGGTTTGACATAATTTCATTCTTTCATTCCCTTTGGAACGATCTGAAATCGTTATTCGTGTGACTGTGGCGGAGTGATGAGACGACTGTGCAATTATCGGGACACCTGTCGTTCCCATTATACTGATAAAACCATGGGGATAACGAAATATGAGGGAATTGTTTATTTCACGTGGACAGCGTTGATTAGATAAATGGATTTTCTCATTTTTTACATTTAGTTTATTGACTGGCTGGAATTATTCTCCTTTTTTACTTCAGAAATATTTATTACAACCCAAGATCTTATCGCAAAATTATATAAAACCTACAGTAAATCCCGAGAACGTTAATAATCTAAATAATTACTCAACAATTTAATAATAATTCCCATCATAAATAATTCTTTTGGACAATTTTCCTTAAAAAATCCGAGTGATTCATAATTTTCTCCCCACAATTTTCCATTGTTTATTAATAATTAAAAATGAATAATCAATTACAAAATTTTTGAAAATTGAGTTAATAGTTGATAGTCACACCGGGAATTGGTGTGGAAAAAAAAATAGTTAATAGAATATATTTTTTTTCGATTGTGGTATCGATACTGATGACAACCACTGGTTCGAGATGGTCGTCTATACGAAAGGACAATTAGATTAAAAGCAGCGCCTCTCGCGGCGGCTTGAGATCCATTAGTGCCCATTGTAACCACCCCATTTGCACCCCCCTCTCACCCCCTCTCGCGTTTTACCCCGATTCCCACCCCCCGTACCAGTCCTTATTCTCAATAGTAATATGCTCACTTTATACACCCACTCACCCCCTTTTTTCCATTTGGACATAACTCTCACGATTTCTTCGTCTTCCCAACCCCCTCTCTACCCCCCTTTTCTTCTCTTTTTTTTTATTCCTTTTTTGCATACGCTTTTCATTTTTCTGTTTCTTGAGGTGCGCGGGGATGGAAGTCGCGACCGGAATTTAACGGAGAGAGAATCGCGGATATCACATACCGTGAAATGAGAGTTGATGATGCACGAGTGGTGAATGACATCAATTAGGAGTGACTTCAGTTGTTACAATTGCTGTCATTTGCGGGGATTTTCTTGTTAAGGATTGGGTGGTACGGACGTGTGTGAATAGACTCTTGAGAGATTTGCGGAGAAGTCGGAGAAATTTTTTTCAAAATTGCACGAAAAATTTTCTAAAAAATCCATTGAAATTCATTAATTGAAGCTCACGAATTTCAATTGCCCCCAATTTTTAATTTAATCATTCATTTTAATATCAAAACAATCCAATTAAAATCATCTCATTGATATATTTAAACCAATCAATTTACAATTCCATTGATCAAAAATTCCGGAAGTCTCATAGATTTTTTTTCAACGCGTACCGCAGAACATTGTTAACTAAATTTGCAGTAAAAAATTACTCATTCCCATAATTACTACCCGCACACAAGTTCTGTAATTTTAATTGAACATTCTTTCCCATGTGCACGAGAGAAAAAATAATTCTAGTAAAATAAGAAAGCCCCGAGTCCATGAAAGAGTATAAAAGACGCATCCCGTGAGAATAAGAATTTACTTTCGCACGTTGTTAAGTTAAGTGTACAGTTATGCTTAAAAATTAGTGTCATTATAATAAGCATAAGCTGGTACCCTATTTGAAAATGTACCATTGGACGAGTGTACACACTTCATTAAGGCCATTAGAGAGCATTTGGGCATTAAGGGGTCGAGCGCGTCGATGCCTAAAACACGGTTCGTACCAATAGAAATAAATCGTGGTGATAGGGTGTATAAGGGTGGGGGGGCTGGGAGGGGAGGGCAATTGTGAATTGAATGTCTTCGTTTTGGGAGAATGAAAGTGCCCAGAGTACTCCGTGGTTTCTCGTAACTGATATGTCCTGGTGGAGCGATTAAGGGGATTCGAAAATAGCGAATATACCGACCACTTTGAAAGTTGAATGATCAACCCCTCTTTGCTGCGGAAGCCGCGTTACAGGGGGATGTTCAATGAACGGATTAAAAACATCAATTCCAGGGCAATTACCATTTTATATCTTAGGTAATTGGTCTATTCGCGTGGAAAATTCTAATGGGGGAAGTCGAGGGGGCGACGATTTTTTTTTTCTAGACGAATTATCGAAAGTGGAGAAATTGTCGTGAGGGGTGGAATCGTAAGAAAGAGTAAATTTATGGGATTTTTTGGAATAAATTTTTATGTGTAATTGTGTAATGAACGAGTGCGTGATTGAGGTATGATGATTGAGGATTTTGTGTCGGGAATTTTTGGAGGGTAGTTGGGAAAGTTTATTACAACCCCTAGATAGTTATCCGATGAATTGTCGGGTGTACAATAAACATTGAATTTTTCTTGGACCCCCGACGGTGTTGTCGATGCACACGCATGCCTTGACGCACCTTTCGTCAAGCGTTAAACACCGATTCCCTTCCTGTTATTGGTATTCAGGTACAATCGATCAGGTACGGGTAAAGGCCTCGATATGAGTCTATATATCGGATCCTTTGATCTTTTTTATTCAGGACATTATACATTACTAACGACCCGAATACCAATAAATCGCTCAATTTCGTTTCAATTCCACCGCTTGTAGTTCACCGAGTCCTATAATTTATTTCGAAACTCAAGAGTCTTGAGGTGCAGAAAGTTTTTTCTGAAATTTAACAACTGGGAATTAATTTTTAAAAATCAATTAATACTGCGAAAAATTGGCAAAAATACTAGTTTCCAAATTCAATTGAAAATTATTAGATTGTGCTAATCGTGTTGGTTTATAATTGTTAATTAAGGTTTATTTTCAATCCAATAGTTACTCGGGAGAAATTCCATCAGAGCGTTTTTTTTTCCAAAAATTAGTATCGCGAAAAATCAATCAATTAATCACAAAACCCTCTCAGTCGGTGGTACTCGAGGCTGAAATCACCCCTAACCTCTCAGAAAATGCATTAAAAACGTCCCCTCAAGTGCATTTCAAAAAACACCAGTACAAAGCCCCAAAGTGTAATAAACCCCGTATTTTTCTTCCGCCTGTGCAAGTCCCGCCGAAAAAGAATAAAAAAAAAAAACGTAAAAATTCCAAGACCATAACGACTCTCAGTATCCATTTACATTCAGTTATATTGTCGTCAAAAAACGCAAGCCCCGTTCAGTGGCGTCGGTTTAATGGCAGTTTAAGGGGATTTTCGTCGGGTAATTAGGAGGCAAAGAGACGAGAGAGTCAGACCGAGATGTGGAGAGAAAAAAAAAAAGAGAGGAAGAGAAAAAAAAAAACTCACTCCGTCTCTATTTCTCACGTTGATGGTAAAACCCGACAAAGAGATTCCAGCGTAGATCCTCGGTTACGCGATTACTTGCGCCTCGTCTCCTCTGATTTTTTTTCATTACCCCCCCCTCACCTCTCCCCACAACGACACCTTTGGCCGATTGGCCCATTGGCCAGGGGTTTTGCCCCCCCCATCCCCCTTTTCAATTGGCTCGACCCATACAGCCTAATGGTATCGTCTAACCGCATAATGAGCCTATCCGAGCCTGAAACCCCAACGTAAAAGAAAGCAGGAAACTCCAGAGTTCTCGAGAATTTTTGAGTGTTTACTGCGCACGCCAATGGGCGGATACTCTTAGATTCTTGATCCTTTATACCGGTGGAAAGGACCACTCTAGCCAATCTGCAGGACCTCCTGCTGTCACCCATCGGCAGATGCGAACACCCGGTATATTATTCCGGCTATTTTTATTGTCCTTTCAATCCCCCCAATTTTACCTCCCCATACCTCCCCACCACCCTTTCGATTCAACTCAAGAAAAAATGAGATGTTTGCCCACAGAAGTATCTTGCATTGTACGATTACTGGGTAGTCTTTAGAGTGAATTTGAAACCCGGATTTGAATATTTGTAACTGTGAATTTCCAGTTTGTGGTTGAGATCGGTTTTATTCGCGGGCAGTGAACCGGGGAAATCGGTTCGGTGGGGTTTTTCGAATTTGAGAATTTCTCGGGAGCATTTTGATGAGAATTGCTTGTTTATTTTATTTCGAGGTGTGCAGCGGGGAAAATCAGTTAAATAGGTTTTTCATGATTTGAGAATTATTGGGGAGTGAATCG